TTTCTTTCTTTCTTTCTTTCTTTCTTTCTTTCTTTCTTTCTTTCTTTCTTTCTTTCTTTCACTAGTCTCTGCCTTGCATATAGTAAAATAACTAATTTGTGGGTCAATTGAACATAAAGCTGATATGCAAAGTTAGGGCTAAGTAATGCATTCTGTTTAGGCTTTGATGGCTGTTACATTTATTGCTTTTAACTGGCTGCAGCACAGAGCAGAGAATCCCCAAATGTTGTTTCTATGTCCTTAAATGATAGATCATAGACATTTAAAGGGTTCCACGTGGTTGGTTTCTGAAATCAAACGCCCCTAAAGCGAACATTTGAATAGTCGCTTGAGAGTATAAATTAACCAACATATTAACTCATGATAGCTCTTTATTCTTAATAGAGAAGTGTTATGTTGTCTTTAACTTCTGCTCAGCCAGTCTCCCTCGTAAACGAATCCATTAAGAGATTAAATGGAGTACTGACGAGGCTCAGGAGACAGATATCTCTTATTTATGTGAAAACAGTAGTGTAAACAGTAACCTCTGTACCCATGCCTACGGTCCACCCAGACTCTGCGCTTCATTCACAAAAAATGCTCGTGGCAGGTTTTGGGTGTGCTGGCCATTATTTTTACTGTCTTACGTTTACAAAATAAATGACACCTTCGTCATGGGCATGGCGTCATGTGGAACGTACCTCCATATTCTTTTTTTCAGTTCTGCAAGTGTTGTTTTAGTTGTTTGTTTGTGTCTTTTTGTCAAATGTCACTTAACACTTCATTTTATTTCAAATGAGGGTATTTGACACTTTAAATGTTCACCTGTTTGCCAGTCTTCAAACACAACAGGTTCTAAATCCACAATTGTTCTTTATTTAGCTTTCTGTAGAGCTTCAGTTTCTACAGGTTTGGGAAGGAATATTTGGAATATACACCTAATTTTCATTCCTCTCCTGAGTAAACAGCAATAATTTTAGATTTTTTTTCATGAGGGGCAAGCTGCCTGTGTGCTCTATGGGGGTTGATGCGGGCCTTTCGTGTTACAGTCAGACTATTCATTTTTTAGCAACTTCAGCTCATATACTGGTAGTTGAGTAGACTTATGTTACTGTCATGTGGTTTCAGTTGATGCATATCCTTTAGGTGGCTAATTTGGCGAGCAAGTTAGCTCAATTCCTTTCAGTGATGGTAGTTTCCAGTTTAGATGTGAGAATGCTGCTTTTGATTGGGTTAGTGAGTGCAGAAGCTATGTAGTATGCAATGTTTTAATCATCCCTAACCAGTCACACTAATATGGATTCTTATTCTGACTGTATGCCATGAAAAGGGAACCCCGGGGCTCAGGAAGTAAGACATTATGAACTTTACATTTATTCCAGTCAGGCTATGATTAATCAATGAACAGTGAATCTGATTTTTTTAAAACTGCTTGTTTAAGTCATATAATTCTGTATAATATAATGTTTTGGCTGTATGTGGGCAGTCTTGAATAAATTGTCAGAGCTACTGGATCTATGCTGGTATTTTATTCAAGCCTTTACTGGAAGAATATTGAGTGACACTGAGTGGGGAAAGTACGGTATTCTTGCATTGGGCGTCATATTCAGGTCTTTGAAAAATATGAAATGCTGCACTGGAGTAAAAAGATGAGACAACTTAAAAATGGAACAAGTGGAAATAACAGAGTGAATGCATTATAGAAGTCCTGCTTTATTTAGTTAAGCTGCTTAGTTGACACACTCCTGTGTTATTGAAAATCCTCTCGGATTCATCTCATAGGCAGCAACCTAAAGCTTATGGTATTCACCATATGCTTTCCTATTGAGGTCACTTGTGTTTTTTTTTATGAGTAACAGATATTCTTTTGTATTTTTCGGACTGGTAGCTCTTTGAGAAAGTAACTTTTGATGTAACCTAGCTGGGAAGGTGTAAAAACTGGCATTGCACACACGCACTAAAGAAAAGGAACAGAAAGACCCACGTACCACTCCTTTTCTCATGTGGCCTCTTCTATACATTTTCTTTGTCATTGAGAGGTTAACAGAACATATCAAGGAAGTGTTTCTCATCCTTTCATTCCCTCCTAATTGGACTTAGTGGCCTTTTCCTTTGTTTTCCAGAGGGTTCAGAACTGGAGTGGTGCTGATCTTTTAGGCCTGTATAGAGTCACATTAAACTAAGCCAAGTCAGCTAAGATTAGACCATGTTTAGATTCCCTGCAGTTATTTTTTGCATAATAAGTTGATAAGAAACTGCTGTTGGGAGCCTGGAGAAATCTAGGCAGAACCTCTTGCTCATTCTGTTGGCTGTCTGTGTTAGTTGTGGACATCTGTACAATGGAATTTTATGTTTGGGGTGAAAGGTTTCAATTTGACAGCAGCTGCTGTAGAAAAGAGAAGAAAATTTGTTTTGGTCTATGTAGCTTCAGTCTTCAAGTTTTCAATCAACATTAATTTAATCCCTGGATTTCGCTTTGTGAATTCCAGTGGCAGTCTTTTTTAGCTTTTCGATGATCGTTATGCACATTGTATTCAGATTTTTTTGTAACTAGCCTTTGTCAATGTTTTCCATTTTGGTTTGGATGCTGTGCGGTCATCTGTTCTGATGAGTAACCACGCCAACAGGAAAGCTGTTTGTGAGAGAAGCCGATGTGATTTTCAAACACCTGGCTAATGCCTGGACAAAGACTCAATTCCTGAGTAATTTAAGAAGAGACACTTATGAGAGTGGGGAGGAAGCAAATACAGAGAAAGGAGGAGGAAATTTTAACCTTAACATCCTTTAAGCATAATGAGGAATGTGAGAATGCAGGCAAATGAAATGGGGAATTTTGAGTTCCCTTTTCTGGACTTTTTCTTTCTATATGACTGGATAGACAGATGGAGACTTCAAACATAAGCCACATTGGACAGTTTTGGTTATCTTCATAAAAGGCTGAATTCTAAAATTGCTCCAAATCAAGCTCCTCAATACTACACCCATATAATGCAGTTAGAGATCAAATAATTAAAATCAGTCAGTGTTTCCAACGGACCTTGACATGCAGCACATATTCAAAGTTCTTTTTTTTTTGTAAAAACAGTGGAATGCTGTATTAGTGGAACTGAATTCCCAATACATCTACATTAGGACTCTTTAGTCCGTGACAGAAGTACATCTGCTGGTGAGCTTTGACACAAAGATTCTGTGTTTACTTCAAATGAGAATCTTATCCCGCACTTCAGCTGCCTGACCACAGATGCAAACAGTGCTAACAGATTAGCTCATCCTAAGTAAACCTATGGTCATTTTTTTTTTTTTAACACACTGACCTTTAGAAAAGAACGTTTGTGCCATTCAAGAGTAATGCAAACTATCTAACAACCTCATCACAGAGCAGAGACTATGACTGCATCGTCCTGGGAGCTCTACCACAGAAAATATCCCCTTTACAAAAAACTGAAACACAATGAGGGAAGACGTTCTGCAATAGGTCAAGATTAAGAAATGTCTTCACACAGAAACTAAGACAAGCGAGCAGTTACGCAGAAGCAGATACTGCACATTTTGGGCCATGAGGAAAAATAGCAAAGGATTCTAGCCTATATCCTGTGTCAGTAACAGAACGAAAACTGTATTTTTGGGGGGAATTTCCAGGGCATGTCCACTGAAGATGGGACACTAGCAATTAGTGGTGGAGCTGGGCCACGATAAGGAGCAAAGTGTGGCTGAGCTGATAGCCACGGAGCCAGCTTACATGAAGTCCTGATAAGGCAGATGGAGGAGCTGTGGTAACTCTCTGCCTGTCTGCTCTGTGATAAACGTTTTGGGTGTGTAAACATGCTGAAAAAATGACTAGATCCCAGTGTTTTTCTTCATTTATTAAGCGCTAATTACACAGATGCCATATCTTTAAAGTTATTCTTTTTTTTGTAGTGCTGTGATTCTTGCTGATGATTAACACTAAATAGATAAATATACAGAGAAGACAATGTCCTCTTGAAATATTAGGATAAGCACCCCAATGTTGGGCTATAATCAGGCCCTCAAGCTTGGCTGTGTCTGTTTTCCTTTAAAGAAAAAAGGCTGGTATGTTAAATATGCACAACTAGATCCATCTGCTGCTTAACCTGTACAAAAATTATCTATGAGTTCACTGCTGACTGTGAACTAACATCTGGCGCCACACCCGCCGGAATTCACACAAGCCAAATGCAGAACCCCCCATGTCTTAAATCTATTCAAATTGGATTTATTCTTTTTAGCAGTTGTTTAAATTGGCCTGATTTCTCTATGCCTTAAATGTCACAGGGTTTTCCGTTTGCGGCCGCTGATAAATATAGGGATGTTATACAGTTGCATGCTGACATTAAATATCTCTTGAGAGAAAACCTAAATTAGGCAGCATGAATGTTGTTACATATACAGGAAAGGTTTATTCAGAAATACTAACTGTATCTTTAGGGGTCCAACCTTTTGTCCTGCTGGTGTACCCTTGTAGTTTGCGCATTTGCTACTTGGGAACATAATTGTACCTTTCAGGGTCTCTAAAAGTATGTGCCGTATTAGCCATAAAGAGTACATAGGCCAAGAAAGGACCTCAGTAGACATAATTGTACCTCTTTTTCCCCCTATTCTTGACAGTGTACCATTTACCCTCTCTAAAAAACTTAACTCTGGAGATATAAAAAGGCACAAAAACTATTTCAGATGCTTGGTGATCTACACTTATGGCCCAAAACATCCTTAAACATGATCCCTAAGTAACTATTGGTGAACCCATTTCTCACAGTCATCAAATGCAGAAATTTCACTTGGAAAAAGGGATCAAAACTCTAAGGGCCAGAAAGTAGAGGGATCATTACTGAAACCCGAAGGTTAACTGTGCTCTTTTGTAAGACCGTGAAATGAACAGCGGGCAGCTGGTTACTAGTATTGTTTTGTTAGCCTGAGAAGATTTGGTGACCATTTTCTAGGCATTTTGCGATGAAAAAATTACTCAAATTGAAAAGCAATCAACATGGTCAGGTAACAGTAATTTACTTGCCTTATAAAAGGCGTGATGTGACCTTTGCATACTCTGTTTCTTTTTTGTTAAACTGTCTCTAATTATTTTCTTTTCCCTTGGCAGGTTGTTTTTTTTTCTTTCTTAAGCAGCACATGGCCTGTATACTTCTGACAGACATGGACGCGCCCTGCTCCAATCCAGCAACACACCTCAGTGGCTCTCCCCCCATGGATCCCGAGTCAGACATCAAGCAGGAAACTTCAGACGCTTGTTTAACTGTCCACCTTTTCCACCCGGGAAAAATACGGGGCGGGGATGACCGTTCAGACAACATGCTCACTTTTTCTCCTGGAGAGTACGTAGCAGAGGAACTGTGCATCGCTGCAGCAAAAGCCTGTGGTGAGTCATGTGGGGATCTCAGTTCCCATTCGTCCAACAACCCAAAACGTCCTTTAGTTCATTCAAATGGGCTGCATTTGCTTAAAAATTGTCCAAACTTGTTGATGAAATAACAAAGCCTCTATTTTATGCATTGGAAAACAGAGGATAGAAAGGACTATGAAATAACATTGTTACAGTTCAACATGCCGTATTGTTTAATGATAATAATTAATTAATTGAATCATTTAAAATTGGATGAATTTGTAGTGTCCTGTTTGCACACCTTTCATTGTAAGAAAAGCAACAGTGTGAAGTTCCGCTTTTGTTTGTGGTGCACCTCTGTGGAAAAAAGATACCAAAACATGTAGAAATGTGTCGCAACAAAATATGAACCTTGTTTTTTTGTCATCTATAAGTATAGTCAAACTGTTCACAATGTGCAAATGTGGGTAAAAGCTGCGTTTGGTTGCACTCTGGCTCTGGATTGTTCTTGCCAAAGTGTCAGTGTGCATTATGTAGATAAAATTTCACCATTCCCGAAAAAAAACAGTTTCACACTTCGCTGGTACAATCATGTCAAGATAAACAAATGGGAACTCTGAGCCTGAACAGGGCGGTGGTGAGAAGTTGGTTAATTTTCATCTCTGAAACAGCGGTCAGATATGTAACAAAACGATTAAGACTTCGGAGCAATTCAAAGAAAGACAGTTCTTAAACTCTAATCGTTCAAAGCTTTCTGATCTGCGTTAATGTGTACGTGGCAGCTTGTGACACTTTCAGCATGTAAATGTAACTGTTTCTGCTCACTTATGTGTCTCATTTGTTAATCAATAAGTTGGTGGTGCATTCAGTGTTACGTGGAGATCCCTAATCTCTAGGAATATGCAAATCATCCTGGTGAGTTAGTGTCAGTCAGGCTGCTATGAGAAGTTAAACGGGCCTCTCACCAATGAGGATTTTGAGTGTACTGACTGCTCTGGTTTTATTTGTTGTGGTTTTGTGTATATTTATTTAAAGACATGGAAAAAAACACACTTTATCTTTTTGCCGCTTTCTGTTTTTTTCTGTTGCCATCCCTACGTCGGCACTCCTTTCGCCATGCCACTTTCCTAGTGGCCACTAATGCCACTACATTATTGGCATGGCATCTCCTCATGTGGTTTAGCTTCAAGATGTCACTTATTAGATTACCATCATATTTGGGAGCAGGCTACACCATGATTTTTTTATGTTATCACCAGGGTGAATTTGTGCATTTTCACTTTCAATACATTCTTACTTGATACACTGGTTGAATAAACTGGTTTTACGTCTTGGAATGATTTTCTTTAGATTTTAATCATTTGCAATAATCAGAATGTTGAACAGTATGCTGTGATCAGGTGTTCTGTTATATTCATCCCTTTGAATGCTTTGGATTATTTTTAATTTGTTTTAACCAATGTGTTTAATTTATTAAACCTTTGATGTGTTGATAAATGAAATACTGTATGGTAGGACGTGTGCATCGACATTGTTTTAAACTTTGACTTTACTTCCCCTGTTCTGGTTGAACAGACTTCCTCTTTGGCAGCACACTTGTACCCATTATCTTGTGTCACAAGAAGCACCGTGAGTGCTTCCTGCTGCATGATGACATTGTGTGTCTTCTAATCCCACTTTAGACAACTGATCAAATACCGCTTTTTTGTTTAATACTCCTCCAGATTTATGAACAGCAGTGTTATGGTAACAAACATGTTTTTATTGTTTAGAATCTAAAAGATAAAAAAATCATTTAAACTTTACATGATCTTTTGTGATCTTTTCAGAGATTAATCCACTGTACTTCAATTTATTTGGACTCATGAGGGAAAATGACCGGATTTGGTTCCCCCCTAATCACGTCTTCAAAATACATCATTCAGCAAGTGAGAAACTACACTTCAGAATCAGGTAAGAAGCCAGTCTTTTTTTCCAGTTTTTGGCAAAAATATGGATTCCTCAATATTGTCCCCTCCTGTCCAGATTCTATTTCCCTGGCTGGTACAACAGCAGCGATTCATCCTACGCCCACCGCTGTGGCTCGTCCAAAGAGATGGAAAGTCCTGTGATGGACGATCGCGTCATGGCGTACCTGTTTGCTCAGGTTAGTCACAATCTTGACACATATTACCCAAAAGAGTGTGCATGTGAGGGAAAAATAACATCTCTAAGATGTCACCCTTTGCAAGAAAAGCACAGCTGTGCTTTACTCATCCAGTTTAATTTGTAAAACTGGATCAGAAAAAAAAGTTTGGTGGAGATAAAGCCTTTCTGTGACTGCCAGTACCCCCCATCTGCCATTTGTTTTGTGCAGATGAGAAAAACAGAAAGTGAGGTTGTATGAATGAGTGTGTAAGTAGCACAAATGAGGAGCAAGGTATTTCAAACTTCCTTGTGTCTGTTTGTGCCTCTGTTTTCATATTTGTATGATTGCATGTGCAGTAGTGTTTTAAGTGCTCTGCTTTTTTTTTTTCTTGCCCACATTTTTGTTCAAATTTCACACACGCACACAAACACATACAAACCACTGCTTGCTTTTTTTAATCTGTCCTGTCACATTGATACCACGAGTTGTGTGTCAACACATTTTTCTAGAGAACACCGCAAATTGTAAATAGAGAGCTTCAGTCACTGTTGTTGTTATTGTTCACATTTTTTTCTGGTAATTTATTGCTCTGCTTCCTTAATCGTTCAACCATCAGAACCTATGTAAAATATATGGATGCACTTTACCTCACCCATTTAAATGAAATCTTAAAGCTAAGAATAATTAAGCTCATCGCTAGCTCGTGTCATAGGTGGATAACGAATCTACGAGACAGGACCCTTCCTGTTTGTTACTGTCTTAGCAAACCTATACGTTTGTTATACTGTTATTGTTGTTTGTTCAAAGCTATAGTATGAAAAACTTGAAAACACGATTTTAGGTTCTAATGGGTTAAAAAGTCCTGCTTTTGAATCAAGGTGGTTGCTTTGTTCTACTCTCCCATTCTTAATGATTTGTTTTTTCTACACACTTTTTCCCCCTAAACTTCTTCAGTGGCGCAATGACTTTCTGAACGGTTGGGTTCATATTCCAGTGAACCACGAAACTCAGGAGGAGTGTCTGGGTATGGCCGTACTGGACATGATGCGTCTCGCCAAAGAGAGTGGTCAGTCAACAGTGGATATTTATAATGAAACTAGGTAATGTACGCTCCTTTGCAATACAGAATACCACCTTATTTTGAATTCAGAATTTAAAATGTTTTGAAATGGATTAGACAAAGAGCTATAAATTTATGCTGCTAATTAATAAAGTGAAAAAGAAGAATTAACTTTCATGTATCAAAGGACAAGGGAAGACTTTGGAACCTCTAATAAATACTTAACCTTGTATGTAATCTATCTCCATGAAGAGCCCAGTGAAAATTGGTTTATTTTTCGTAAAGATTTGTGTGCGAGCAAAAGATATTTCCTTTAAATTGCTAAATTGCGAGATAGAGATTGGCTTTTCTGCAGATCAGAATCCAGCTCAAATCAGTACAACATCTGTACTACATCAGGTTCTGACAACAAAAGGAAAGATATTGATGATTATCCCACACAGCTGCAGTATCTTGCACGTGGTGCCTCTTTCCTTACCTGTAAAACACGGGATGCTGACTGTGTACAGGCTGGCTGGGACAAATTTGATGGGAAATTTTTATAGTGGTGGCACGTGTCATGCATTCAACATCATGATAATTTTAGTGTGTGTTCTCTATTATAATGTTCAGTTGAAAATAAATTTCTACTAATATATCTAGTATTTTTCACACTTTGTAACTTCCTTTGAACTGTATTTCCATTTAAACTATATTTCTATAAGAGTTCTGACTGACCTCTAATAGTTCATTAGAGTTCTGGCTGATTTTGCTGCGTAGAATAGACACATGTTCCCTGAGCTTACACATCCCCTTCTCTTTTTATTTTTTCTCCATTTCTTCATCCCACTTCAACCCCTTGACTGCTTTTAGCTACAAATCTTTCCTGCCGAGATGCATGAGAAACCGCATCCAGGAGTATAACCTTTTGACTCGAAAGAGGATCCGCTATCGCTTTAGAAGGTTCATCCAGCAGTTTAGTGAATGCAAGGCCACCGTTTGTAACCTCAAGCTCAAATACCTGATGAGCCTGGAGATGCTCCTGCCCCTGCTCTACTCTGAGCGCTTCCAGGTCACTGACCTCTCCTCACGGGAAGTGACCATAGTCGTCATGGGCAACAAGGGCATCCAGTGGTCTAAAGGGAAAGAAGAGGACGGCGCAGAGGAGGTGAGAACACAGGATACAATATTAAGGAGATAAAAATGCAAAAAAGCTGACTATGTTTTTTGTTTTGTTCTCAGGAGCTGCAGACATACTGTGATTTCCCAGAGGTGATCGACATCAGCATCAAACAGGGCAATAAAGAAGGCTCTGTAGAGAGTCGCATAGTTTCCCTCACCAGACAGGACAACCAGATCCTGGTACAGTACTACTAATAATCATTATCTATTGTCTATTATCACTAATGATAAAACAGAATACAAAACTCATACACCTTGCCTTTAATCCAGTGATGTATTTGTCTGGAAACCTCCATTTCGAGATGTTTCAGCTATAGGCTCCGATCCAACATGATTTGCTTGACATTTCAAGACTTACGACTTCATGGGTGTTAGGTTTGGTTTGCTTAAACGGATGGATTCAGCTAATGCAACCCAATTTAAGCATCTCTTAGTGGTTATTTTTCACTAGAATCATTTGTTGAAAATCGTGCTCTTAACCTCATTAAATGAATCGCGCAAGACAACGATGATGACAAGTTTACCTTTGTGGTATAAGTTTTACAGGACCAGCTGCTGTCTCCATTTTTAACTTGTAAACTGTTGTTTAGTAAATAACATACTAAATTATTATTTTTTTTCTATCCTGCACTCTCTTATGTTTGGCCACACCAAAGGAGCTGGAGTTCCATTCGCTCTCAGAGGCCCTGTCCTTTGTATCATTAGTTGATGGATATTACAGACTAGTCGCCGATGCCCATCATTACCTGTGTAAAGAGATAGCCTCTCCCAGACTGCTGGAGTGCATACAAAGTTACTGCCACGGCCCTGTCTCGTGAGTATCATACTCAAGTACAATTGCAGCACATCATATGAACGTTGTGATGAAACCACCTGCCCAGATGTTTCACACACAAAGGCACATTGTGTCTCCTTTGATCACAGGATGGAGTTTACCATTGGTAAGCTGCGTCGTTCGGGTAACTACCAGGGCCTGTACATTCTGCGCTGCAGCCCCAGAGACTATGACAAATACTTCATGTCCTTTGTGGTCGGGGTAAGTTCAGTCAGTCTGTATCAGTTGCCAGAAATTCTGCAAGTGTCACATGTGACGAGGTTTCTGTTGAGGGATTTAGTTTTGTGAGGAGGAAGTTGTTTGAAGTTGTACATTCAAACTTTGTCACTGAAAGTTAAGTATGTTTGTTCTCTGACTTCCCCAAAAGGACCCCGTATCTCAAAATATTGTCCATATTTTCAGTCACTAGAGGGAGCAATGAGATTGGATTTCTCCAAATAGAGGACAACCCGTCTATGTAACGCTACTGTATAATGTGTCCAGTTTTACATTTAAAACTGACATGGACTTCATTCACCAAAGAATAAATGAATAAATATTTGTAAATTCAAAAATAAAGACTTTTATCTGAAGAAAGTCAATAATGTTTGACACTTACACTTGTGTAATTCTCTTGTTTTTCAGTGTGAAACAATGGTGGACTATAAGCACTGTCAGGTAGTGAAGACGGAGTCTGGAGAGTACATTCTGAACGGTGCCAAGAGGAGCTTCGGCTCGCTCAGGGAACTTATGCATTGCTACCAGAAAGAGGCCCTTCGCACCGACGGCTACACGTTCCAGCTGACGAACTGTTGCCCTCCCTGCCCCAGAGGTGAGAGCTCAAACTCATACAGTGCTATTCAAACTTTCCCCAATTATTTTAGAGGGTCTTTACTGTTGACTCTCAAAAAAGGGAACAAAATTGGCAAAGATTAATTAAAATATGGAAAAAAGGTCTATATTAGATTACGGTAATTGACATGTTGTTGGGTACAATAAACCTTTTAAATAGGCCATTTTTAATTTCACCGTAAGGTGTATTATTGTTCTTGAACACAAAGAAATGAATGAATATCTGATTTATGCTAATGTAATCTTTTATTTATAAATAAGTTATATTGGAAAGAGCCTAAGCCCTACCCATATTCACCTCTGTGCAGACAAGTCCAACCTGCTGGTGTGCAGAAACAATCAAGGGACAGAGGTTCCTCTGTCTCCTTCACTCCACAAACACATCAGCCAGATGGTCTTCCACAAGATCCGCAAAGAGGACCTCATCACAGTGAGACACTGAATGATTCCTTCTTTTTCCCTTTTTTTTAAATTCTATTTAGCATACTTTTTATGACATGTCTGTAAAAGGAGAGCAGAGCATCTGTTCCTAGAGCAGGTTGTCTTTATATAATATATAAGTGATATGTGTTATGGTTTGAGCTCATTGTCTGGACGGTAAAACGGCTACGATTGGAATTGTCTAACGTCAGAAAAGTGCATTCTGCCTTTCTTCTAATATAGTTTTGATGACAGAACAATAAAACTGTATTTCAGAAAGAAAGTTTGGGCCAAGGAACATTCACCAAGATCTTTTGTGGCGTGAGGAAGGAGAGGGGGGACTACGGAGAGATACACCAAATGAACGTCGTTATCAAGATACTGGACAAGGCTCACCGCAATTATTCAGAGGTTGGCCTGTTGCTTCAGTGAATGACCCAAAAAAACATCAGAAATATGTTGATCGGCCCTTATTAAAATGCTCTTTTCCCATTTTCTTTCTCACAGTCGTTCTTTGAGGCAGCCAGCATGATGAGCCAGCTCTCCCACAAGCACTTACTCCTAAACTATGGTGTCTGTGTGTGCGGCGAGGAGAGTGAGTGCACAACACAAACCCATTCTGATAGTTTTTATGAAGGAAGAAGCTGCAATTACAAGTCAACAGTGGCAAAATAAGAGCAAAGATATGACTTTTTAATGAGCAGGAAATACCAAACTAATGCATGATTATATTAGATTAGCCTTTTGGGACAGTTTAAACTGGACTTAACCAGAAGAATGTAAATGGATGAAAAGATTTCAAGGCTGTGGAATATGTAGTCTTGTGTGAAAAAAACAACATAAAACACACCTCTGAAACTGAAGAAACTTAGAGACAGTAACACAGAGAAAGAAGAAAGTTTTGTTCAATGATACAAAGAGTATCAGTAAACAGAATGGAAGAACTTTTCTTCTAAAATGTGATATTTTACCCTTATTGCAAAACAAATAAAAAAAGAAAGAAAATAACATTACTTGCCTTTTCATATCTGTCAGACATGATGGTGCAAGAATACGGAAAATTTGGATCCCTGGACACCTACCTGAAAAAGAAGAAAACTTGTGTGAACATCACTTGGAAACTAGAAGTGGCTAAACAGCTTGCCTGGGCAATGCATTACCTGGTAAGACTGAAATGATAAGCTATTCAGCCTGGAACCCTTCGTTTTATTATGATTTACGCATACTGTATTTAAAAGTATTTACCTGTCCTTTTTTTCTTTTCCCAACATTTAGAATTTTAATTAAAATGTGCCATGAAAATGTATGTCTTTGTCATTCTGTGTGAAGGAAGACAAAAACGTCATACATGGAAATGTTTGTGCCAAAAACGTTCTGCTGATCAGGGAGGAGGATCGGAAGACGGGCAGTCTGCCTTTCATCAAGCTGAGTGACCCCGGTATCAGCATCACTGTGCTGCCCAGAGAGGGTGAGGACACATCCAGCACACTGTCCTGAGAGCCTGTCCGTCCGAGGTGTGTGATTGTGTTTACCCGTCGCTCCCACAGTTCTGGTGGAGCGTATCCCGTGGGTGCCTCCCGAGTGCATCGAAAACTCCAAAAATCTGAGTCTGGCCACAGACAAGTGGGGCTTTGGGACCACCCTGTGGGAGATCTGCAGTGGGGGAGACAAACCACTCAGCACTTTGGACTCCTCAAAGGTCGACCCCCAAGACAGCCTGGATTAATGATGAATGAGAATTGTTCATTTGTTTAAACAGAGTTTAATGAATGGGATATCCCATTATTATTTGACAGGATTAGATTTCTATTTAGGTGAACTTGTGATGTGTTTCTAGGCGGAAAACGAGCAGGTGGTTGACTGTGTTCTGTCTGTGTGCAGAAGAACCTGTTTTATGAGGACAGACACCAGCTGCCAGCTCCCAAATGGACGGAGCTCGCCAATTTGATAAACAGCTGTATGGACTACGAGCCTTCACACCGACCCTCTTTCAGGGCGATAATCAGAGATCTCAACAGCCTTTTCACTCCAGGTAGGAACACAGAGAAACCACGTAGCCTTGTGCCAGCGCTGTGGTGAAAGAGCACAGCTTAACATCGGGCACATTATGTATCATATCAGACGTTCGGTCACTGAGGAGTCTATCCAGAGTTTGTACATTTTCATGTTGCAGACTATGAGCTGCTGGTGGAGAGTGACATGGTGCCCAACAGGACGCGAGGCTTTGGCTTCCCATGGGCCTCTGAGAGCCAGGAGCCGGCTCAGTTTGAGGAGAGGCACCTCATTTTCCTCAAGCAATTAGGCAAAGTAAGACTGACACGCTACAGGATGCTCTCAGTTTCTCTTTATCTTGACATTTACACCCACAAACATGTGTTTTTTTAATTCCGAAAACCTTCACTGGATAAATGACTCAAACCAGCTGATCATTTCTTGAACTTTTGGCCCATCCTGAGAGGATCTTTGCCTCTGTATACGTGCCAGTGAGGTTAATGGATGTTGGAAATGCATCTCATACAAATTATGATGTGCAGTGACAAAGATTAGATTTTCTGTGACTAATCATCAGTTTCCGCTGTCAGAAGTTATGTTCTCATGATAGTTCAACCGGCAATGTTTGATACCAAAGAACTTTTCCTCATCATTCTGCAGCACGCTTATGCAGGGAAGCAAATTTGTGTTCCAACTATTCCATTTGAATGTTTAAAAGGTTGTTTGAAAAAAAGCCTGTGTGTCTTTTCAATCCCAGGGAAACTTTGGCAGTGTGGAGATGTGCAGATACGACCCCTTACAGGACAGCACTGGGGAGGTGGTGGCTGTGAAGAAACTGCAGCACAGTTCAGCCGAGCATCTCAGAGACTTTGAGCGAGAAATTGAGATCCTGAAATCCCTCCATCATGAAAACATAGTTAAATACAAAGGCGTGTGCTACAGTGCAGGTACAAACTTTACTCTTATCATATCAAACTCTTAAAAAATTAGATTGTTTTATTATCGTTTAACATTTGTTTAACAGTATATGTGCTGTGCAGTGCGTATACAGTGTGAATTTTAATGATATTTAGACTGGCAACAGTGTTTACATACAAAGTATCGATACACAATATATATAAAGTGTCATTTGGCAAAACATTGCTAAAAAAAACTAAAACACTAAGGCTGAAGATCATTACTCGTCTTTATAATAATTGATTTGATCTCATCAGTCTCTCTCTAAACATAAAAATGTATTAGTATTATGTTGATTAGTTGGGTAGGATTATATGAGCTCCATAATGAAAAATAATGTGAACTTTACCTCTTTTCTTTGTTTTTGCACATTTTAAACAGGCAAATCATTTTCCTTTCTAATCCGAATATACACGGGGGGCTGTGATGTATTATTTGTTCAGTAGCATCAGTAGCTGCGTCTCCTCTGCTTGCAGGGCGACGGAACCTCCGGCTGATCATGGAATACCTGCCCTTTGGCAGCTTGAGAGACTATCTGATCAAACACAGGGATCACTTTGATTCCAAGAAGCTGCTGCACTACGCTTCACAGATTTGCAAGGTAACGGGCCCCGGCGCCGAGGCCTTCACGCAGAGGCTTCCCGCCTCACTGTTTCCTGTGGCCTCCGTAACACGTGGACCTCTTTCAGGGTATGGACTACCTCGGCCTGAAGCGCTACATTCACAGAGACCTGGCCACCAGGAACATTCTAGTGGAGAGCGAGATGAGGGTGAAGATCGGCGACTTTGGCCTGACGAAGGTGCTGCCGCAGGACAAAGACTACTACACCGTCCGAGAGCCCGGGGAGAGCCCCATCTTTTGGTGAGGATCACGCTGCTCCATTTCTGCCTTCTCAAACACACAGTTTTTGTTTTTAAGATGAAGGATTTCCACGTTTGCCGTGCCCCCTTTAAACACACACAGACAGTAAGTAGTGTGTGGAAGCCGTTGAGCTTTTTTCTTCGACTGCTTTAGTTTCTTTTCCTCGGACCGTGAACTGGATCATTTTCAGAGAAATGTTTTAGGAGTACCTAACTCGAGGGATTAACCAGTGTAACTGACAACCTAACAACAAACCCATTTCAGGTGTAAAAGCAGATGTTTTACAGCTAGCAGTCTGTCACAGACGTATAATTAGCCTCAACTGAAGATGAAACTCACAGCACAAAGTGCAGCGTGTCCTAAAAGGAAAATCTCTTAAATCTGGATAAGTGGGATTCATAAGAAAAAAAATCAGATATGAAAGGATATAAACATAAGATTGATGAGAGTCTGTGTAGTTATTAAAGGTTTAAAACTCAAGTCGCTAAAGATCTCCTTTGTCTCACAGACATTAAGTTGTAAATATGAGTCCTCTTGCCTTGTAATAAAACTGTCAAAAGACTGAGCCATGGTCCACCTCATGATCCTGTGGGAGGCTGACAATCACAGAGTCATCAGCATGTTTAATTACGCGGCTTCACAAAAATGAATGATCCCGACCGCTGCTGAGGAAGGCAAAGATTCCAACTAAAAAACAGCAGCATCAATTCCGGATTGTCCGTATGAACCCGAGCCTCATGTTTACTGAAGCAGTGTGGGGTCCTCCGGACACAGAACGGAACAAAACGCAGCCACCGCCCAACAAAGGGCTTCAGAACTGAAACTTTTCCTGAGGAGGCAGGCTGCTTTTGCTCCTCAGTGAAAACAGAGGAATTTTTCTCTGCTTGCATAATTGATGGGTCAGATTTATGTCCAAAGAACAAAGAGTTGTTATTGTTGAAGACAATTTTTGGCTTTTTGCAAGCATAAAGGCCTTAGTCCAGGGGAGCTCCAAAGGCTTGTCTCAGACTTTCACATCCACTGCTGTTTACACGGATATGGGAAGCACTGTGTTTAACTTATGGACTGTTATCTGTTGTCCTGTTTTCCAGGTATGCACCAGAGTCTCTGACAGAGAGCAAGTTCTCGGTGGGGTCAGATGTTTGGAGTTTCGGCGTCGTCCTTTATGAGCTTTTCACCTACAGTGACAAGAACTGCAGCCCACCAGCGGTACAGCACCTCCACTTTCAGATTTTAGATTCAACTATATTTATTTTCCCCTTCCTTGCCTTTAGTCGAAGTTTTTTACAAATCTGCACTCTGCTGCAGGTGTTCATGGAGAAGATGGGGAACGAAAAGCAGGGCCAGATGATCGTGTATCATTTGATTGACCTGCTCAAACAGGGCTATAGGTTGCCTCCTCCCGATAGCTGTCCAAAGGAGGTCAGTAACTTTTAGTTCCACCGCTAAAACTGGAAATGCAGTTTTTTATTTCCCGTCAATGCGACTTACATCTCTGTTTCTCTCTGACCTGTTTTTTTTTTCTTCAAATACTTGATTATTTCTCCCGCATTAGATACACAAGATAATGATGGAGTGCTGGAGCAGTGACCCGGGACTGCGGCCGACATTCAAGACCCTGATCCAGCGCGTGGAGACGGTGCGAGACAGCAGGGATGCATGAGCGCCCATGATTCCGCAACCTTTGACCCGTCGGTGTGGACTGGCCTGAGCTCGGTCGTCACAGGCAGATGAGTTGCCCGGCTTTGTTCCGGCGGTTTGGAGTAGAAACGATGGTGACGTTGGCTCTCTGCAGAAGTTCAGCCACCTCTCTCTGGACAGAGGAAGTCTTTTGTCCAGCAAGAACACTACGGCCAACTCCAAGAGCAAAGATTACTTCTGGTGACTTCAAGAACTTCCTGCGCTTTGATGGATGAGCAGGAAATACGAGACGTTACTTTGTACCTCTATGGTCAAAATCTCTTTATAGATAAAATAAAAAAACTAAGAACAGCTCAGCACCAGCCGCCTGTGCCAACTTGAAATGCCTGAAACCAACATCGTGGCTCTGCTTGTGTGTGCGGACGTCATCCCGTTCTCAAGCACACGTCCTTGTTTTACCTCTTAAGGCCGATATGTGAGCCTCTGTTACAAAGGGACTTGTTACGAAGAGATCTCTGTTTTTCTAGGTTCTCGCCTCTCGTGTTTCCAGTCGCTGTGGATGTCTGGGAGCTGGTGAACCAGCAAGAGAAACTGTCTTATTCTCTCTTTGGGTTCCTGTTCGCTTGAATTATCTATGTTACAGACGATTTCCTTTTATTCAGCTGATTGTTGAATCTTTGATGGTTCAAGGCTTCTCTGTCTGTGTGCAGAGTAGAAAAGGTGAAAAAATATGGTGCCTATATTTTATTCAAAGTCTTACTTTAAAGATGTGGAGTTTCAAAAGGCAGAGATGTGCGTTATTTTGTTTATCAGAAATGTATTTGTGGTCCATTTGACCACATTTGTGGTCTGTTAATGAGCGTAGGAGAGCGACTGGTCACTATTTGTGATCTACATGCAAACGCCATTTTTCAAGGCAGTTTTTTGTCTGTATGCACCCTTTCTCTGCCATCTCTATTCAGTGTGCCTTTTCTGTAATTGTGTTTATCTTTCAGGGAAAAAAGGACAAAAAATGTATATGTGGTAATGAGGTGCAACATGGTGGGGGGGAGGGGGGGAACTATTCATAATTGGTTCATATCCGACTTATTTGCTTAAAAACTGTGTGGCAGGGCATGTTTTTTTTAGAGTTTTTCATGCTTTAAATCTCTGTGATAATGTTGTTTTGCTGTGTTGCCTCAAATAGGATAATTTGATACATATCAGTTTGTGGACAGTTTGTTTTAAAAAGAAAATCCCAGCCAAGTGACACCTGTGTGTTATTTTCCACACGTATTTCAGCTGTGGTTGTTTTCATCATTCAAAGACGGATGCGTCACATAAACTGAAGGTGTTGTCTTTCTTCCAAACAGAAAAATTGTGCGGAATTCCGCATATGATTTGTTTTGGGAAATTCGTGGTCAATAATTACATTGTAGAATCATTTGAACATTTGGAGCATTAAAACGTATCATCTTGTATTATGCAAAGGTCAAGTATTTGTTTAAATGAAGAAACAAAGGCCCTTCCTATTTAGTGTTATCCTTAGGGTGTTGATACCCCAATTGCAGAGAGATTTATTGTCATGAACAAAGGTCAGAAATGAGTTTTAGGCTAACCAAATGATGTTAATATACAATATTGTGGTGCTGCTCACGGTACAATAGTCAGATATTCTGAAAGCTTAAGTGAAGACACTGGTCAATGATTCATATTAACGCAGTATTTAAAATTTATTCCAGTTTACAGTGAGAGTGACATTCATACATACAGAGCATAATGTTATCTCAGAAAATGATCAAACTAGTGAGGAGAATGAATAAAAATGCCCATCGTATCAGAAAGGGATGGAGCTGGACTGATGCGGAGATTTTCTGATGTACCTTAACCTCCAACCATCTTTTAGCTCTAGATCTACACACAACGGTACACAGCCCATTAGCTCTCATCATACCAGCTTTGTGTCACGACCGACCACTTCTCCAGCGTCCATCCCTTCTCCCTCCCCCCATCCCGCCTCAGCACAAGCGTCCGATGTCATTCTTGGTGCAGCCCTGGTTGCAGCACATCCCCGCCACTCCCAGAGAAAAGTTCCTCTTCCTCTTGCTGGACACAGGCCAGGCGGCCACCTCTCCATTCCCCTCTAGCCCGCCCAAATTAGCCGAGTCGCCCGTCAGGGCCGGCACACTCGGAGACGGGTGCTGCCTGTCGCCCGCAGCTCTGTAAAGGGTCAGGAGGTCGGCCAGAGAGTATGAGGAGGAGGAGGAGGAGGAGCCGGGGGCGGAGGGGCGGCCGTCTGTGAGTTCTGCTCCACGTTTCCAGGTCTGCTGGTTGTCTTCTGTTGTCAAGTCAAGGAAGGAATTCCACCGGAGAGAGTCTGGAGGGAAAAAAAAAGAGTCCATAAATGACATCTTATCTACAAATTTTGAAGGTATACTAGATTTTTTTTAGAGAACAAACAGAAATAACAGATTTAAGTGACTGCCTGAAAGATGTTTGAATCAACTCAATAGTGTTTAAATGTTGTAAAAAACAGGAGAAAATAATTTTCTAAACGGTTTCACCGACATATTATCTTATCCCTCCATTTCATGACATTTTACATGATTTAAAGCACACTAACAGCTGATAATTGTAGATTTTTAGGACATTTTTTTGATGGCAGCAAACAAAACATTTTTTCCAGCTTTTTCCCCCCCTTATCAAACTCTAAACGGCAGTGACGGGGATGGCTCACCTGAGTCCACGTCTATGGAGCGTTTCCAGCGGGAGCCGCCGCAGGTGAAGATGACCGCTCTGATGAACTCTCGCCCGCACAGTTTGACTCCGTAGTCCCGGGGTCCCATCAGCCTGCTCATGACATCAGCCCTCACGCAGCTGCACATGCCTCCGAAGCACACCACGGCCACGGCCAGAGTCGCCCTCCACAGCATGTTCCCGGCGGGCGGCGCCTGACGGGAGGACGGGGCTGGCTGTTTGTTTGTTCTGGTCAGGTGGCTGAGCTGATGTCCACCTCAGGTCCGGTCCGAGCCGCAGGTCCTTCCTCTCCCACTTTTCACTCGGCAGATTTCACTTGAGCACCTTCTAAATGGCAAAACACTTCAATTCGTCTGTCTTGTGTTGCTCTGATTCTCTCCTTGCCAGTGCGCGTAACCTTTTATAGTCATTTGTTCACTCAGAAACCCGTGCCACCCCCCCCTCCCTTCTTGACACACACGCAGGAACAACCACACATCCACGTTATTTAGATGGATGGCGGTGACGTACACAGAGTTATTTCTTTTTTGCTGAAATATCGTTAAGCAGGAGAGTGCCTGCATCGCACACAGAGGATATTAATGGGAGGACAAAGACCAGGAATGACAAATCTGAAAGTAGCTGCATAAAGAAATCGCGTGCATTTTTCCCGTAGAGAATAATCAGGCTCCTCCAGCGACACGCCACAACAGAAACTGGTTTTGGGGTTTAAGAGATGTTGAGTTTGGAGTTCTCCATTCAAAGGGCGCCCTGTCACAAAAGGCAGTTTCAGAAAATGAAGCTGTTTCAAGAGTGGTTTTTATTGGCCTGACAAATAAAATATCAATATGTCAAGCACAAATGGATCCAGTAGTGAGTAAAGAAGGAATAAATGTGCTAATTAGAACAACTTGCACGCACACTGTCATGATTAAAAAAACAAAGTTACAAGTGCAATAGCTTTGGTGTGATGAAGAATTATTATTGATTTTTATCACTGAAATCTCATTTTTATCTGTCAGCAGCACATTTTCACTGCTTCCATGATGTAAATAGATCGTCTTCATGATAAAGATGCAGCAGAAAACTAAAATAAATATCTGTATTTAGCATTCTAAGCCCTCGGTGCCACTTATCTCAAACACAGCTAAAACAAACCAGTGAACGTTGGACATTGAAGGCACCACGTGTCAATAAATAAGCATTTTGGCTGGGAAGATGGTTACTGTCAACACCGTGTGCTTTTCATTGAGTTCTTTGAGCTGCAATGTTTCAATAACTAGCCCATTTAGAGGAACCTTTTCTGATACAATCCACCCAAAAACAATGAAGCCACACAAAGTCCATGATGATAAATTAGTGCAAGCCATGGACTCCATCATGTTTATAAAAAAAGAAGAAAAAAGGCAGATGGCATTTGTTCTCTCTTTTACAAAGTGATGCTGAACACGTGGACCGGACAGTTTGGATTCGGACTCCCGTTCCGGCTGGTGGATCACTTCTCCAAGATGGAGATGAGACCGCTTTTAGCGCGACGGGCCTTCTCTATGCTCTCAAAGGTTGGAAGCCCCTGAGGTAAGTCCAAACGGTCGGGCTCTGACGCCATGATGTTCTCAGCCTCCCCTGATGGAGCGATTAAACACAAACACCGTTTGTAGTGTAACAAGCCGGTGCTCCGTTACACACAAATGCTGGTTTTCTGCCTGATATCTAATGTTAGACCGAAGGTTGCTGCCTCTGGAGGTCAGCACTGATGAGAAAATGAATATCATTTGTGACCAGTTTGATGTGACTGTGTTGTCAAAAGAAACAAAAGGCGTATCAGTTAAGTAAACAGAAACCAGAGCGGGTTTCACGAGAATCTGGATGAGCTGGAGAGTTTTTAATATAAAGTTCCATATAAATGACAAAGAGATGACAGATCTCCATTCAGATCCGACTTTAATGGATTATGAAAGTCTTTGTTTAAAGAAAAAAAGAACTACTGCTAATGAAGTCCTCATTACTGGTGAATAAGCCAAAGTCTGTGGTAAATATCTGTGATGATTAGAGCTTGAATCAGGTTTGAGCTCATTATGGTGGATCTAAATACATGTTACAGGTTTGACTTAAAAATTATTCAGGTAACAAAAACAGAATCTGGTAGAAATATTAAAACTCTTTCACTTTTCTAAAAATGTGATTACATTTGAGGATTTCAATGGAAGTAAAAGTGTGATCAAGCGCTCGTTCACTTTTAAACGCGGCATGACAGGAAGCTCGACAGGTTGAAGACATAAGCCAATTTCAACCCCCCATTTGGTCATAAAAAGTCAATCGTTTCTTAAATGCTGTTTGTGCAGCGGGTCTCACCTCTCATCCGATAGACGAGTGTTCCGTAGGCGCTGTCCATCTGGTAGCTCAATATAAAGCCTAGAGGAACGATGGGAGCCAATAGGCCGGGCTTCTTTCTCTTTATGGCTCTAAAAAAGAACAGACACAGAGGAAGAACTTTATTGAAACAGAAAAACTGTATTCGGCCCGTTTTCCCTCTTAATTTATTTTTAAGAACAAGTAAATTGATCACACTGAAGAATAAAGTAAGAGACTGCCTGTTGAGATAAAGCAAGTGTTCACTCTGAAGTTTAAGCCGACTTGGCTGAAATCAGCTCTAAGGTCCAATTAATGAGTGCACTAATGATGGTGGCTGGGGATAAACACTTTTCTAAATCCTCCTCAGCAGCTGGACGTGCAGCCTTAGTGATGGTGGGCAGCTGTGGGACTGGGAGTGTGACAGCACCCGGGTTGAACCTGATCTGAGCTGTGACACCGGGAGAGGGCGTGGGCAGAGCTGCAGCAGGAAATGCCACTGGTGTGACACTCAGGGTGTGACTCCTCTAGAGCTGAAGCTGTGAAAGCCTCCGCTCGGCGTCCTGTGTTGGACCCACGCCTCACCCTATTGTGAGCCCCGACGCCGCCACCGCGAAGAAGGCGCCGTAGTATTTGAGAAACTCTCTGGACCAGGCGATCTGCATGGCCATCTGCCTCTCTCTCATCTGGTTCTGCATCAGGATCTGACGCTCCATCTGCGCACACACAAGCAGGCAAAGGGGAGGAGGAGGGGACACGGAGGACGTCAGCAGGCCAGAAAAAAGGTCTCCAACACCATACATGGACAATTATGAGACGCCTAATCATCAGAACGCACATTCAGGTACACAAACAGGAAGCTGCGCCCTCAAAGACAAACAGGCAGCAAAACTGTCACATCTCATTTCGCTTACAAGTAAAAAAAAAAAAAAAAAAAAAACCTGGATCAAGGACTTTGATAAGGGTCAAAGCCTGTGTTTCTGTGAGAGACGGAAAACTGAGGTTTTTTTGACAAACTGTCTGTGTTGACAGCTCCACTTTGGACAAACTAAAAACCGGTAAAGGAAGCGACAGACTCAGCGATCAGTGTGGGTATTTGTTCTAGAACTCTACAAAGGTGACATTCTGAACTCCCGGGCGGTTAGAGCCCTGAAGCCGCTTGATGGACACGCAGAGGGTCACGGCGTGGAGACGCAGCGCCTCCATTGTCTGGAGCGCTGCATTCAGGCTGGCGAGCGGCAGCCGGGTCAATCCTTTGTCTGCTGCTTCCCGTCTGACGCGCACGCTTCCATCCACGGCCACACAAACGCACACGCCCTGCATGACAATCACTCCTGAGCCGTCTGAGTGACATTCTCAGCCCAAAGGCCTTTTCTCCTCCACAAGTGAACGTGTCAAAGATGAGCTTTTGTTTCCGCAGAACAGGAACTTCGAATCAGTGATGACGGTGATGCTAAAAAATGTTTTTTTCAGACCAAAAAAAAAAGAAGACCTCCACCATTCAGACCAGCTGATGACAAAAGTGGATGATATAAATTACAGCCTGTCGGTGAAGCTTCACTTTGATTCCACTCTGAGACCATATTCACCCAAATTACTATCAAACAAGAACATTTCGTGTCAGTGTTTTGTCTGCAGGACTTTTTACCGTCGAGTTGTTTAAAAAAAAAAAAAAAAGGAAGAAAACCCAAACATATGGAATGAACACGTATCGGTACATTGAAATCTCGGAGCACAGAGATGCGTGTGGAGTCTAAGCCCTTCTAACCAGGTTTTGTGAGGAAGTGGGCTAAATGTTGACCAACTCCCAGCTTGAAATGTCTTTAACTTGTCAAGCATGATGACTAAGGCCAAGCATGGCCACTTAACCCTCCCTCAGGGTGACAGTAGGCATGAGAAATGGCCTGCCAACCGCTCATCAGCCCCATCAGTCAGAGGACTAGATAATAATAGTCCAAAGCAAATCTAATGCAAAGGAAAAAGAGCATCTGGGGACAACTTCCCGACCCTCTCTCCCTTTTCGGCGCGTAAAGAGAATGTTGAAAAGTTTGGCGCAACACCTCTTTTTATTTTCAGGCTGGCTCGTTGGAGCACATCGTTAGAGCCCACAGGCGTGCAGACACTGATCTGAAGCCTGCTGCGCCCGCCCGCTGTGGCCGTGGCCAGGAGACCAAGTGGTGTAGTTAGAGACCTGAGAGGCTCGGAGGCTGAAAAATGTGTCAGAGGTGGCCAAACAGGGGGACTTTTATGAAAACCCAGCTGCAATCATCGGGCCGACGTGTCGCTGGGCGGTGAAAGTGGAGTAAAAGCCACTTACGTAAACAAACCGCAATCAAACCTTAATTAACTGTTCAATATTTTTCAGTGGGCTGTTTGATTGTGGAGAGCGTGATCAACAGCCGTGACCTGAGTGCCGGGTCAAACGCGGAACCTTTCGGGAACCGGGGCCGCTCGGCGCCATGGTCAGGAAGACACAGGATTGGTCAGAAACTCAGTCGCACAGAAGCCGGACACTGATGAGCTTTAACGTGACCCGGTCCAGCTGGAGACGCAGGGTTCTGACAGGGCTGTTAGATCAGAATACACAGACGGGGGTGATGGTGAACGCTCACTCGGGCTTGTCATTTATCAACTGCTGCAACAGTGGCTGCAGTGATTGCACTCCCACAGAGCTTCCTCATTATGGGAGACAAACACCACTCCTCCCTAATGCTGCAGGCTCTGCTTAGCTGAGGGCGGGCACAGGGAACCCACCTGGCCGGGGGGGGGGGATGGTCAAATAACCCACCGCTCATATTTACATGGATTCCACCTTAATGAACTCAACTGAAGACACACGAGGGTCCGCTGAGCCCAGAAAGGTGTGATTCCACAAAGATTTGAACTCAGATTCAGACCTTTTGTTTTAATGATGTAACCGTTGGCACAAACGTCTCTCTGTAGACAGATGTCATGCTCAAAGTGAGTTTATGTTATAACCTCATCTTTCCTAAATTCAACACTAACTTCTTAACCATAAAAACCGAAATGCTGTTTGATCCTGGAAATGAACAAAAATAATAAAGACCATTCATTCACTTCTTGTTTCAAAGGGATCACTGGACACATTTAGGTACTGGGTATCCGACACACACACACAAATTTACACTTCCTCCTTTCAATATGCTCAGGCTTGTCTTTTTTGTTTTTTAAGAAACAGAACCCTGTATCTCTGATCAGGGTAATTTCAGAACATCCGTACAGTACATGTCGGCGTCATACTGTAAGCTGGAAACACACCAACACTAAGAATCTCTATGTAGAGTTTCTCTGGGAATTTTGATACATGTCCTGGGAGTGAAACCCACCCCCGGAAATCTTTTTGCAAAAAAGCTGACTCCAACTATGAAACTCTCCAAGAAGTGGGAAGTTTCAGCGCTCTCACAGTCAGAAGTCATTTCAGGCTACGGCTGAACAACCCCAGCTGGGCACGACTTCAAAGTGCTGGAAATTACGGGAAAGATTTCTGTAAAAAAAACAAAAAAAGTTTGTGAGCTGGCATGATCCTAAAGATCAATATTTGTCCACAGAGCTGAGACAGAAAGTGAACGCAGTGGATGTTTCTGATGACTAATTTTGGTAGTGTTGTCACAAAGGGAAGAGAGGCGGGATTACCGGCACATGCACATCAAGGGATGCAGAAGCGGGAAATGTGACATAGTAAATGTGAACTGGTTAATGACTTTACAGCCCCCCCGCCCCATTGATGTGTGTTTTCACATCAACAGATTAAACTGTTGAAACTCCTAATTTAGATCTTTGATTTTTCCACAAAAACTACACCATCAGCAATAAAACCATCAGAACCACAAACACAGGGCTAAGAGAAGCCTGTCGTCACCATCTTAAATGTATGAATGAGTGTTGTTTTTCAACGGATTGCAGTGTTTCCTTAACGTTTCTGGTGTGTGCTTAGACAGCAGACTGACGTTTGACTTGGAAACGTCAGAAAGGCTGGTGGGGAAATGTTGGGAGGCTCGGGCGAGTCATGACACGGACTGAAAACAAGCGGGGAAGGAAAAGTGAAAGCATGAAAACAGACACCAGCCCATCCTGAAGGTGACAAAAGTGAGAGTAAAATCAAGCTGCTGCCAAGCGGGAAACCCACTGACATTTCCAAACGCTGGAAAGATCGTCACAGAGGGACTCTGCTTGTGAAACACATCCGCCCAAATCCTCACAGTCTACTGTGCACACTAAGAAAAACAGGCAGGACGCAGTGTTTTTCTATTTCTGTGTGGACAAAAAATGGTAAATTGGTCAAAAGAAAAGAGTTTTGAGATTTGTGTGATTAATCTGCCACAAAGGTATTAATAAAATGCAAAGAGAATGGTGCTTTTGTTCTTGTTGGTGAAAATAAAGCTGGTTGAAATGTGAATTTACATTTAATCCTGTCAGATATGACATTTAGAGCCTAACAGCACAGCCAAAAACAGAAGCTAACAACTGGACCTCTGTTGTCATTGGAGGCTGAACTGGAGAGGATTCACTCTTCATCTCCTGAGCAGTCTGATACATCAGAATAAAAAGGTTAGCATTTCTTCCATCATTTTACCGTAAACCTTTGTTTCAAAGTTTACATTTGGTGGCATGATTGTGTTCCGCATATCATGGGTTTTGTGGATTTAATGGCTGCACAGTTCTGTTCAACAGAAGAGTTTGTTGCAATATTAGAGAAGTGTCACTAGAGAGGTGAAAAATAAATAAGGACAAATAAAATGCAGCTGATGAAAATGAAAAGCCATAAAAATAATAGCTTGTCTACTTTCCACTTAAACCCAATCAAGTTCAGGGACTGAATGAAATGCACAGCCCTATCATTAGCAGCACAGAAGCATTCTTTGATATGAAGCGAACAAAAACGATACTCACGTCACCAAGACGTGTGTGATACAATCAGAGCCAGTGAAATTTAAAGTAATGCTTACGACTGAAGCCATGATTCAAGCACAATGACGCTGACTTAAGGCAAGAAGACAGCGGGGATCAATTAGACATGACGGATAGGAAATAGAAAAAAAGGAAGTGAAGAGAGGTTATTTCAGACATCTTAATGCATGGCAGCCTTTGTATAAGCTAAATTGTAGGGGCCATTCTTAGTCTTTCAGTGAGGTGATGTCAAAATACGATCTGGTTGTTAAAGGAAAAAGCAGCAGATACATTTCTGGTCATCAACATGACCGACTTCTCAGCTTGAAGTCACTACATATAGCTCAGATCATGAATATAATTTCAATTTAGCTTCGCAAATTACTAGAAATGTCCTTAAAATATATTTAAAATTGTTGTTCTATACACGAGTCTTAAATTTAGACAATCTATAGTGAGTTAAGCTAATGTAACAACGTAGGTCGACAACGGCAATGCATAAACGAGCATCTAATATTCACCTATGAATCACTGTCAACACCCAAATAAGGGTGCTCTGAAACTCGATTGCCTAACCTCTGCCATCATTGTATTATTTTTGTCATCATCCTCCGTATTTACAGCTGGGAGAGCAGCAGTAATCTCGGGGGCAGGCCAAACGGCAAACCTTTTGGGTCTCAGTCGTATAATGTCATTGGGGTTATGACAGCCACACGTCCCACCTGCTTCTCTGCAGCTCGCAGGCATGAATAAATCACAAAGAATTGGCTCCAAAGGAAAGGGAAAACAAACAACCCTGTGTTTAAATTAGAAAACAGGAGAAAACAGAAATAATGAGGACAATAAAAATCTGCAGTCTCTGGGTGGACATGTAAATCTGCGAACTAAAGTGATTCTCCATAGAGAGTGTGTAAGAGACTCAGGATGAGCAATGCCACACACGTCATTTTAATCTGGATGCTTCTTTCTTGACTTCACTCCGGTCTATGAAGGCTAATCTTGCTCAACAACCTTGGAATATTACAAATGATGAAATTCACTATTATTTTCAATATCATTTCCTCTTGAAATTGACTTGTTTTTAGGAAGATTCAGAGATTTCATTATCCTGTCCTTAGGTAAGAGAACTCCCTGCTGTTAAGCCGACACTCATCCACATTTGAGCCCGTGTGTGGAACACTATCAGACTAAAACAGTAACGACAGTTTCAACATTTGAAACTTCCATTTAATATCAGGAACAATCCTGCTAATATTGAGCAGTTAGTTACACTTTTCTGACCTAAACTTGGACTATTTCTGGGTCGAATGTGTAAACATTCTGCAAAATCCCTGCTGTTTCTTTAAAAGCTTCAGAAAATTATTAAAGAACCCCCCACTGCACATATTTTTTTAATTAAATATAAAATCTATGTGTACTTAATCATTTACTTTTAGACATTTGTAGTAGCAAGTGTGTTAAGATTTCATAGCCACTGCCACATCTAAACATTCATCTGTACGTAATAAAGACAAACTCTCAATTTCATTACAGGGGTGTTAAAAGTGAATTGAGCATTAAATTCTGGTGAACAGCAGACTTCCAAACGTAGCAGATCAGTTTTGAACATGTCTGTGGGTTGACCTTAACTCACCTGCAGACGTGCGTTCATAAGCATGAACTCCTGCTGCTTTTTGAAGTTTGCATCCATGGATTTAGACAGTAGAAAGCCCATTTAGGCGTTGTTGCTGTCGAGCAAAAGATATAAAACAAATGTCTGTCACAGCTTACACAAAGACCAAAGTTCCAGTGTCAAATGAAACCCCTACAAAAACAACAGTTTGTTTACGCTTTCAGTGACCTTGCCGTGCTTTGGTGCAACTATGAAGCTATCAGTTTGCTGCTGGCCAATGGTTTCATTCAGTTTATCAAATAATGTGCAAATGGCGATTTACCTGCAAGTTTTTTTTCCACTGCAGCTAAACCTCCTGACAGTAGTTTTCTAAGATTTGAGGGCTTTAAACTAGCAAAGGACAATATGCGCTAATACCGCTAACCTAAACGCGTTAGCTTCTTAAGCTCCATGAGGAAATGTTGCTTTTAACCTTTTAAAGGGAATATGACTAGCTGGAAATGAAGGCATTACATACCTAATATACTGAGAGGACTGTTAGCTAAGATGAGACAGACCGGTCTCGAAGTGAGGAGGACTCAAAGAGGGCTTAAATGAAAGCTCCACGCGCCAAGCAGTTACCGGAAACACTTACAGGTTCATTTCCGTTCTTAACCTCCAAACTAAAACGCTCTGATTAGGAAAAAAAAAATCCGAAATATGTCGATACTCATCGAATTCAACTTTTCACTTCCACCACGAACATCTGGAAGTAATCAGGTAATAATTGTGCAAAACTATCTTCTTCTTACATGTTTTACTCCCGGCAGGTGATCGTTTGTTGGGAAATGTCGCCCTCTGCTGGTCAGTATTAACTCTAACAAAAGTGACCACAGACTATGATTAAAAACTGATCGACAGTCAAATGCATTAGATACAATTAAATTCAGACAAAACTGCTTTACGATAATTAAGAGGACCTTGAAAATACTACCAATCAACCTTACTATAGGGGATGGATAATATGTAATACGAATTCAGCAATAACATTACATCACTTTAAGCATCTCTCTCAGCAGAGGAGTAATGTGAAACAAATGGAAGGATATCAATAGTAGTATTGAACACTTTTTAACTATACATTATATAATATTGAATGAAAAATGCAGCATTTTAATTAACATCAGTCAGAGGTGGACAAAACTCAGAGAGGTTCTGTGTAAACTATGTAGTTTTGGCTGGTTACAAAAATGATAACACTAAACAGATGAATGTACTGAACTCTGCCAGACCTTTTCCTATGATAGTAATACAATGTGACCATAACTCACTTAAAATGGCAAACCTGAAATTGTGCCTTGATCAGTCAACACAAAAGTTAGTATAATAGCTTTAGTTTGTGAGTCATTCCAAGCCCAGCTATCTTTATTCCCCATCTCTACAGCAGAGGGGACTCCGCATACAGCATCCCCTTCCTAGTGAGTCAAACAAATGGTTTTCCCGCTTTTCCTAGAGAGAGTCAAATAGACATAAATATGATTCAGTGTAGAAAATCACAAAGTGAGATCATCCAAATGTTCGTGTAAACTTGACTTGAAAAAGGGAATCCACACAAGATATTTCACAAAGCCTGTGGCAGTGACAGGTAGAACCCCCCCGCCCCCCACACCTCATACGGTTAGAGGCTTACAGAAAAATAACTGAGGTGACAATGAGTGATGTGTGACAAGCCCAAACACGCTTCCAGGATAATTATCAGATTGTTTCTGATGCTGTCTCTGTTATATAAATACTGGGAATTCCAGGTGTAACGTAGTTCTACCCAAATTTCCATCTTACCTGAATGAGATGTTTTCACCATGTATCTATTTTGTATGGGGAAGGGGGGGGTATATATTTCTGCCCAAGAATTACTGTGGGCAATCCAGTTTGAGATATTCTACAAGATAAACAGAAAAGAAAACATTTAGATTTTCATTGAGTTAATAAAATCGTTCGTAAACGACTACATTAGCTCTGTTCTTAACTAATTTAAAATGTTTTTTATTTTTTCTCTTCATAATATATGTCTTTGGCCTTATATCAGCTCTTCTCCATATCCTACTTTTATTTCAAAACCAGATTAGTATTAGGGAGTACCCATCCCACAATTAAACTTGTTCAACCTCTGCCACCAACTATACTGTGCTCTTAGAATTAAACCAAAGGGTCTATCAAGAGCCTCTGTCAAGTCCATACCAAAGTTGAGCCTCAAGTGGATGGTCTTCTGTTTAAGTTTGGGGGCGATTTTTGTTTATGATAAAAAAAAGAAGTTATTTGTAGTATGTCTTTACCCTGACAGATCTTGTTAGTGTGATCATCAATTTACCAAGAAATGGGTTTCTGTTTGTTAAATTGTGAGTCTACTACATTATCTGGAGTTTTCGACACCTTTATATCCCCTCTTTTGTTGGTAAATCGTTCATAAATATCGGCTCTTGGTGATGTGCTTTTCTCGCTTACAGTAAAATGACGTCACGGGAGTGACGCAATATAAAAAAGACCATGAAAAAAAACAGCACACGCGGAGCATCCCGAGAGTAAAAGTTTATTGCTGGCCACACAGACAGAAACAGAGAGCAGAGCAGGAAACAACCAACCGTGGTTTTGCACTTTCAGTACATAAGACCTGAGCCTGCTTCACGCCTCTGGTCAGAACAGCGCGTGTTGACGGTGGACACCAGAGGAGAGCACATCTGGGCAGCTGGAAATTACGGAGCGCTCACTCTTTTCCTTCCAGTAAGTAGTTTATTCTACTCCGTCTTAAGAAATAAGATATTGCCTGCGCTTGCACAGCTCACGTGACGATAAATGATTGGCATTGTCAACGGGAAAACACGAGGAAACATTTTTATTTCTACGTCAAACCAAGTCGTTTGAGCTTTAATTTCTAACAACCGCGCAAATGTGAGGATACCCCCCTCTCCGGAGGCTAGTTCAGCGTGTGGAAGGTCCTCCCATCGCTCTTAAATACGGTTTGTGACAGCGTTTCTGAGCACAGAGAGATGAAGGAAGAAGGAAACAACCCACAAAAACACTATTAGGCTGTTGAATTATTTCCAGGTAGGACAAAATCTGATTTAAGAGCAACACCATTTCACTTTTGCAAATGTGGTTTTTGATAAAATGTGACTTTCAAAAATATATTTTTGTGTTTCAACCTGTTTATTCTCTTTTGCTCTGATTTGAATAATGTAAGTGAAAAGAAATGCTGGTTATCCAGAAGTTTACATTGGAAAAAGTTACACAAAATGACGGATCTGGGGCTGTTGGGGCTTTTGAGATATCATCACATGAATTACAAACTTGAAATGAGTTTGTAGCTTGTTTGGCTGGCTGTTGTCCCAGGTGAAATGCTACTGCAGTGAGCGTGTGTGTGTAAGCTTCTGTGTTTTGTTGTTATCTGTGAACATCTACAGGGAGTGAATTGCTCAGTAAGTTTAAAGTTATTGTATTTTGATAAGTAATGCTTACATCTGTGTGTGTATATATATATACACACACTACACTAACGTTAGTTTATTCTGATTGGATCACCTGACCATTCTCATCAATTCAGCTTTAAATATTCTACCCATCATATGTCTATGTATACATATGTCTATGTATATCATATCATCATCATTCTCTCACTGACATGAGGCTGCAGGGTCAATAAGTTGACTTTCAACTGTATAATGACCCCCTCTTTGTTTTGTTTTTGTATTTTCTTCTCAGATTTCAATGGACTGGACTCTCCTTGTAGTTTTGCTTGTCATATTTCAGCCATCGCTCTCAGGTTGGTTAACACTTTACACTAAGAAGCAGTACGGCTAAACGCTGTGCATGACTTCCTCAGAGACTTGCCGCGGTTGTTGAGGAACTTTAAATTGATTGTGCTTTTGCTTGATGTTATTTCCCTTGCAGTCTTGTTCACGGTGGAGGCAGAGCGAACCGCCTACCGGTCCGAGTTCGGAGGAGATGTTGTGATGGGCTGCAGGTTCAACCTGAAGCCCAACCATCCTGAGTCCGCTCTGAAGGTGACCTGGTACTGGACCACCGCTGCTCCGTATCAGGAGGTGGTCGGGATTGATAACGGAGCAGAGAAGAATGCATCGCAGAAGTATCTGGGCCGAGCCAGACTCCTCACCGACGAGCTGAAGGACGGCTGGGCAAAGCTACAGGTCATTACTGACAGTGATGCGGTGAACTCAGATTTACCGTAAATCACATTTATATGACAAATGATGAGTAATTTCCTTTAGGATTTCTTCACTGAAGTTAGGCAGGCTTGTTTAAACAAGTCAGTGCTTCTTCTTTCAGAGTATCACTGACACAAGGGTCAAATGTCCCCTCTGAGAGTTTTAGAACTCTAAAGTTAAAAAGAAAACTATTCGTAGAAGCGGTGTCTTCTTAAAAGAGACATATGCACGGTCACTTTCACAGCTTTCTTACTTTTGATATGTATGTGTTGGTTTTACTGTGAATAATGAGTAAGCTGTTAAGGAACATCTAATTCAAACCATCTCGTCCTTTGACAGCGGAGGACGGTGTAACGGTTTAAGACTTTTATATAAGGATTTTTCTTCTTTTTTCATTTTACAGATGTCCAATCTTAGGATCAACGACTCCGGGACGTACCAGTGTTTGATTCAGTCAGCAGAAGGAACTGACTATAAGACCATAACTTTGTCAGTTGCAGGTAAAAACCGAGTCTGCTACTGTGAAATGTTGCTGTTTGTCCTATACGCTATACGCTGCAGGCTTTCTTCCTGGAATGGTCTTACTCAATAGCCACCACACATGGTCATTTCTGGGCAGTTAAACGTTAATGTTGCTGAAAACGAAACCGAGACCAGTGTTACTCAAATAGTGTTAAAAAAAAAAGTGTAAAGTGCTCGAGTCCTTTAGGATCCTCTATTCATCTTTATACCACAAACGATAGCTGGTTGTTAATGTGGTATTCTTAACCTGAACTCTCCTAATTCTCTTCTAGCACCTTACAAATCGGTGGTGAGACGTATAGAAAGGACTCAGAATGGGGATGAGGTGCTGTTAACGTGCCAGTCTGAGGGATACCCCCGGTCGTCTGTGGTGTGGTCAGACGGACACGCACAGACACACAGAGCCAACACCACAACTGTTAAAACACCGGACCAGCTGTTCAAAATCACCAGTCAGATACAAGTCAGCTCGTCCAAGACCAACAACTACACGTGCAGCTTCACATCTGATGGCCACTCTGCAACATTTCACATCCCAGGTACATATGAGGAGGAGAATCCTCCGAAAAGTGAACGCGATAGAGGAAGCAAGCAGCTGCGGCTTTTCAGTATTAATCCATAATTTCTCCTCCGCTGTGCACCATTGAAAAAACAACGGAATTGAGACTGAGAAATCACTTATGTACAAAAGAAAAGGGAAACTAGAACAGAAATGGTGGATGTAAAGTGTTCGCATATTACAGAAAAACACAACTTGCCCTCAAAGGGAAGAGGAAAGTTGAGCGTATCTTTCGTGCACCTCAGCATCTCCCACTGCTTCCTGTTATCTTCATTTTTCCCTTTGATTCACACCCTGAATGTGCTCTCAGACCCCTTGAAGTGCATGTAGACGGCAGCACCCTCAGTATTTTCTTACCCAAATGAGCAAGTTTACAGCGTCACCACAGGGAAGCTGGAGGTGTTCTAGGTACATGTGAACCATTCGAAGGCGCTGTAACAAGAAAAACCCACAAGTCCATCAAACGTCTGACTCTGTTTTGATTATATGAGGACTCTTCGTGGGTTTGTTCCCTTTACTCTGTCTCATGATGGTTTCATTTGATGAGCTGAATCCACGAAACAGAACTGTCGTCTTTCTCTGAACTACAGCTTTGCACCACAAATAACCCTAAAGCAGCTTTAACGCGTCATTAATCCGAAACATTCAGAACATTGAGAAATGTTGTGCGTTTACAGCTGAAAGAGCTTTGCACAATATACAAAGAGGAATTTTTCCTTTTTAACCACATTTAGTCTGTTTTTTCTCTACTACAAAGAGGAAGTCTGGACTCAGTAGTTTGGTATATTTGGTTATTTCCAGAGTGGTAAAAGCAAGTGTGAGCATGACACAGAATAACCTGATGGTGATATCTGGTTTCATCTGGACGGTGCTAACAGGGATCCCTCTGTGCTTTATCTTTTGATGCAGATGAAATATTCGTTCCCGGTGGAAAAAGCGACGCTGTCATCATCGTACTCAGCGTAGGAGTAGTGCTGACTCTCATGGTTGTCGGCCTGGTCGTTTACCGGACGCGAAAAGGTAACCAGTCCATAACCAGACGAGCTGTGGATATTTACTGGCATGTGAGACATGTAGGGACTTTTTCAATGTGCAATATGAGTAAGAATTTGACACATACCGATTTACTGCCAGTCTACACGAAGAATACATGTTTTTATCATGAGATTTGTACAACAACAGACATACTTGTAAGAGTTTATCATCCATTGTAACAGAACAAAGTTTGTCTTGGCTCCCCTTTTGTACGTTTAGGACTAGCCTTGTCAGCATGATCACTGTAAGGCGGGTCTCTCTCAGATAGCTGAGGCTTTTGTTATTTCCTTTACTGCAAGTTTATACTCTGAATTTCAGAGTGCCGCACTGACCGGGGTCAAAGTCCAGTTAATCTGCCCCAGCCAGCTTCTTGTCAAACTGAAAATGAAATTAGTCTTCAGTTGCACCTCAGTTTAAAATTGAGTAATTCACCATTACTCAGCGTTTCAAAGATGTTTTTCCGCTTCATCTCCTTGTTTTTGCTTGTTGCTTTTTGCAAAATAAGCATGAAAATTTGAGTCATTTTTGAGGTGAGACCAGGCGGTCCCTTTTACCAGCCGAGGCAGATGTTAGGTCACATTTCCTCTCTTAAGAGGAAGTTTTTTTTTCAAATCTTTTGCTATTCGTATTCTCTATCTACCAATAACATGCCAGTCCAGTGTTTTTGGAATTTCACAAACATGTGACTGCATGAGTTTTATGCTTGTTGTTACATGAGCATGACTTGGCATTTTTAGGAACTCAGAAGCACCAGATCGGGGTGGAAACACCCAGATTGGTTTTGGGCAGTATACCAGGGGAATTTGAGGCTATTTGTGAATGCGTGGGTGTTTTTTTATTTAGCACGTGTTCATGCTGTCATCCAGCCAAACACTTTGATCGTTTGAGTAGTCCACACATTACATTTTCTTTCATTATTGAAATGTGTGAACACGATAAGAGAATTTTACTCAGTTACGGTAGCAGAAACGCTCAGGTGACTATTTTAAAACCTGTTTTCAGGAAACATGTGCATTCATCGCAGTATTTCCACAATACATTACATTAAAAAAAGGAAGGTTAGAGATGGATGCAAAGCAAGAGTGTTGGAACTCTAAATTATTTTAATATCATGAGTTAAGTTCATGGAAAGCGAAAAGAGGATGTTAAATCCTTACGTAATTCAGCTGAATCAGATGCAAATATTTGCATAAAGAGTTATTTCTGTCATTGTGTCCATGCTCAAATACACATCCAACATTTTGAACTTAAACTCTAAGCAAACTGCTCTGTTTTGTTGCAGGGGCCCGTGCTCCCAGAACCGCCAGCTGTCTGCTTGATGACTGGGACAAATCTACATCTGCGGCTGCCCGTGAGTCTATCAACAGCTCCATCCTTCTGTGTGAAAACTCCACAGATGCTACTAGTTTTAAATGCGCTGCATCAAGCTTAAATCGTGTGATTTGAATGCTATTTTTTGCTGACTTGTTGGTGACTGTGAAAATGACTGATCCACGTTTCTGATACTATAATAAGCTGTTTGTTTTTCATCAGGCTTGCCAGTAGAAAAAGAAAACGGGAGCGAAAGAGCAGTCTTTATTGGAGGTAAGAGGTTCTTATCTGTAGGCACTGTGTGGTTTTTGTGTGGGTTGCTGTTTTTACGTGGAAATTATCAAATTCGGAGGGGGGTTGATCGCCCTCTTCTACCCAGCATGCATCATTTCCTAAAAGTAACATTTAATATGATTCTTTTTCAACAAATGAGTGAATAAGTGTTTTTTCCACAGGTTGCACGGAGGAAGATCTCAGGTCATGTCTGAAAGAGAATTATTCTGAATTCACCCTGAGCTCAGAGACAAGTGAGCACTTTGGAAGTTTCAGTGTGGAGGAGCTGCCTCACAGACTGCAAAACAAGTGAGTCATGAGACACATTTTCAGACCAATTAGGAAATATATCACAGACTCCTACGTCTTTAATCAAGTTTCCAGTTAACCCAGAACCACTGAAGATGTTATTGATTTCGAACAACCCCTTCATTTCACAGAAGTGTTGTCTTTGACTATTTGATCCTTACATTTCTCAGGTCAGGAAATCAGAAGGATGTTTAGTGCGTTTTAGTATGTTGCACCATGTGGTTTAAAATAATTTCGAGCAGAGCAGAGTAGTTTTGAGGAGGTTCTGTTGTTAATAAAAATGTTTGTGGTGCAAACACATTACTAATTCATTATCTGATAAAGTTGATTACATCATCGCCTCTCTGTTTCAGTGAGGGCCGACCCGCAAGTGTCCTAGATTTACTCCCAGAAAGTGGGGAGACCCTTTTACTTCAGGGACCTGCTGGGAGTGGGAAGACGACAGCAGCTCAGATTCTGGTCTCCTGTTGGACCGCAGGGCCAAGCCAGGCCCGTTCTAACCTCCCTGATCTCAGCCCCCTCGGCCTTCTCATCTGTGTCAACTGCTGCCTGGTGAAGGATGACCTGTTTGAGGAGATAACAGCTCAGCTCTCCCTGAGTGAAAAGATATCAGCTCAGGAGCTGAGGACTGTCTTAACCGAGTCCAGCAAATCTCTGCTGTTGCTGGATGGGTACCGAGAGGGGAATCAAGTTTTTGATGCGTCCTTGAGGAAGTTTTTAGGTGAACAAGGGGACTGCAGGGTGCTGATCACAGCCTGCCCCGGACTCTGCCCCACGCTCACAGAGACACTGGGGGCGGACAGGATTCTCAAGCTTCAAATGCCATCCGCGAGATACTGAGACCAAAGCAAACTCCTGAGACATTTATCACAATGTTAATCTGTACTTTTGTCATTTGTTAGACTGAATTGATGGAAGCCTGTTATGCTGCAAAATGCACTGATTTTATTGACCAGCAAGTGAAAGAAATGCTGAAAATGTGTATATGTTTTTTTTTATTTGTTTTTCTCTGTGATGCCCTTTGTTTGATGAAAAGAAACGTCAACGTTAAGTTTGTATGAAGAAATAAATAAATGAAAAAACGATCTTAGGATGGTTTTTGTGTGGTTATTGACCGCAGTGGATTCTGTTCACAGTGAAAACAGAACACAGTTTAAGAGATGAAGGAAAACTTGCAAAGGACAAGCAGCTCAGTAAGAATCTGTTACTTAGGCCTTAAGAAAAGCAAACGATAGAAAGAGTTGTGTTTGGAAATTTGAGAGCACGCATCAATTCTTGATGCAGAGCTCCAGACTTTAAGAAAGGCAAACCCTGGACTGCACTCATCAGACATAGTCTTGCTGGAACCTGAAACAGGCCAAACAATGATGCTTGTCAAATGTGATGAGATCAAAACGAAATTGATATGTTATCTTTGTGGAACATAGCGACTATTTTCACACAGCTACTCTCAGTAACAAAAGCAACAAGCAAACCTTTTAATACTTTACACTGTATTTGTATTTCATTTTTGTTCTAGTTTACCTGAACACGTTCAAAGGGACACCGATAACGTTTTTTTTCCATGTGCAGTATTTGAGTTTTTATTGATTAAAAAAAGTTTCTGGACTGGACAGAAACACTGCTTAATTGTGTAACGGTGTTTTTATGTTGTGATATTGAATGTCATCTCCTACAGAGAATCCTGTTCCTCTGAATGCTTCCTAACCTCTTCGTGCACATTGTTCTGTTAAGTCTCAGCTTGACTGCTTTGTGACATAACTCTGCAAATAAAAGAATGAATATATTGCATGATCCAGTCCTTGAATGTCCCATCTGACCATCACTTTGTTCCTAAGAATCGGATGTCATTTTAGCCCATTTCTCTATGGGAAATCCTTTCTGTCAACATTATTTGAACAGAAACAGGAAGTGACCTGACATCACAAAGCAGATAATAGATGCAGTTTTGAATTATGACACTATAGTCTACAGGAAACTCTACAGGTACTTTACTGACATCAAGGGAACCATCAGCACAATAGCTGAGATCAGTTTCTGACATCAAAATGTTGTTTCCCCCCATATATATACATGTGTGTGCATATGTTACGGATTGTGGTGAAGGGAATTGACAGGGAAATGTGGAGCAGCACAATGGAAGCTGAGAAAAACCTAACATTAAGTTTTTGATAGGTATTTGAAAGAGAAAAAAAACAAAAACAAAAGTGCAGCAGAGAAAGAAATCCAAAAACCGAAACCAAGAGAACAAAAAACAAACACAAGGCAGATAAGCTGGCACAAAACCCCAAGTTAGATGATAACAGAATATGAAGAATAATAGGAAAGTTGTTCTTTCTCTTGTTCATAGAGAAAATAAGGGGAATTGCAGGGGGGGGGGGGGGGGGGGGG